AAAAGACTATGTTTTAAACAATATTTTCGAATACCCTTTATCGAATATTATACAAGCAAAAAATTTTCATAATTATTCAATATGAGAAAAAAAGAATTTTATTTTTAAGAATCTCATATGAAAAGGTTTCAGTTCGGACAACAAAACACAGTGAAATGAATGATTTACACAAAATACATATATATGTCTTTTGACTAAGAATCTATTGTAAAGTTTAACACTATTTACATTAAATCAATATGCAGACACAAATTTATAACTATTTATTGAGTAATAAATAATCTGAAAAATTAAAAAAAGATGTTTTAAGTTATTTTCAATTTTCTCCAAAACATACTCAATCGGTTTCATCTTTTAGACATATTAAAAGTAATAAAAACAAAAAAAACTTTTTTCATTTTTTTTAATGAAAACTAATAATGATGATTGTTTGATTATTTCTTTATCTGGTTGAGTGCTGTTTTCAAATAAAGGAAACAATTTTAGAATGCTTTTGTACATTTCTCATATTATCAGGAAAAAAAACTGAAACTGAACTCAATGATACACTAAAACTTTAAGTTCAAATTTCGCTCTTTAGTAGAAGATTATTGAACTGTAATAATCTTTCCACAGCTCATGATTTTATTCTATTTAGGTCAACATATTGAATTATTGATGAATATTTCCATGTAAAACTAAAATATTCTATAAAATTTTATTGTTCAATCTGAAATTTTTCTCATACAAAGATGTCAATTAGATTAAATTTTGTATTAAATCATCAAATTTTTCTGTGTATTGTTTCTGAAATATCTATTATTCAAAAGTTTCATTCATTGAACAATGTCGATAGAATTCTGTTTACAAATTAATCTTATTAAGATCTATATCTTCATAGGAGAATTAACCAAGGATTTCCTATATCAGTTACAATAGAACAAGATGATGAACCTTGTCCAAATTTGTTATAATCTACTGATATATACTTGACAGTGTATATATTGATCATTGTGTGAACTATACTTTTAAATTTTTATTTTAGAACTAGAAATGAAATATTTTCTATATTGAAATACATAGTGGCAGTTTTGAATCATTCTTTGTAAATCATTACGAGTCAATTATTCTCTACTATCATAGAATTAATGACTCTATTTGATAAACAATCAAGAAAAAATATTCATAGCTGAATTGTTTATGATGCACTTTGTATATTGGAGAAAGATGAGTAATAAAGCGAATCAGTTTTTCAACATTTTGGAAGCTATTACAAAATTTAATTAACGATTTGAATTGTTTTATCTATTCTAATAAATCTAGAATTTTGATGAAAATTGCCTCGAAAATTTCAGCAAAAATGAAAGAAGCTTTGGTTAAGCATTAGGATCTTATAAAATAATAATAATCTATCGAATTTCTTCGAGAAGAAACAACGGAGTTTAAAAACGTAAAATAACACTTACATTTTCTTGAATGTATTCGGTCGTCATTTGATTTAAATCTAAGGTTAATTTATGTGTATTGACGATGATAGATTGATTGCTATCAGTGGTATTCAACATGAAATTTACGATTTTACTTTGTTGATGAGGATAATCAAATTTATCTCGAGAAATTGGTATCGAATAGAGATGAAACTTTCGATTATCATTGCTGTGCTCTTCGTCACATTTATATAATCAAATGTTTTATTTCAAGTCAGAATGATGTTCGAAATGGTGCAATGAACGATTCCATATAGTAGGACAAACTTCATTTTCGTGTATAAAACGAGTGAGATAGAATTCGAATTGATTTAATAGAGGAAATTTCGTTTCAATGAAATGTTTCTATCGACAACCATCAAATAATGAAGGATCAGCTCGATATCCTGGACCAAACAGTTGAAGATATGTTAGCTTACGTAAGAATATAAGAAATAATTCAAGATCATTCATCGTTATTTCATAACTAATGTATAATGAAAGCGAAGTTAAATGATCGCACTGCTTCATATCAGATTCTATAGTAATATTTTCATCCAGTGAAAAACGTTCCAGAATCAATTTTCGTAGATGAGGTGAATGACTTATGATAAAGTAAGTTATATCCCAGTTACATTTACCACTAATTGTCATATTTTCTAATTTACATCGAATGGGCCATCGCATGTCAGTAATAATATCATCTCCATCTCCAAGTTTCAATTTACGAAGACTTTTGCGCGATAAAATTGATGTTAATAATTGTTTCATGTTCTTGGAATTCGAGTCACTAAACGATATTGAAACTGTTGTAAGGGAACATTTCATGATATATTTCTGAAATTCATTCAAATCTTCTTCTCGTATGTAAATGAGAGTCAATGAACGTAGTTGACTGAATTGATCAATAAGAAAATAACGAAGAAATAATCGAATTTGACCGAATGTTCGTTGTTCATCCGAAAGCGTAAGTGAAATAACATTTTTAGGATCAATAAGATGTGCCATGACACGAAGATCAGATCTTGATAGATAACGAAAGTCTAGCCGATGGCAATTGTAATCATTGATAATTGAATATAATTTTTTTGCATATATGCAACGCATCGAAAAGAGAATTGTCTCTGTATCAAGTTTATCATAAATTCGATGAAGAATTTCAACGGGTAATATTTCAAAATAAGATTTCTTTATAGTAGACATAAATCGTTGTATACAGAATGTAAAAGTATAATATGTTTTTTATTAACTAAACGTCGAATATGAATAACCCACAATACGTCACGTTCAACTTGATAAAATATCAAGTGTTAATATATTTATTCACTAAAATAGTAAGAAAAAAAAATGTAATAATTGTAAATCTGTATCTTTTTTTTTTGAACATAACTTCGGTTTAGTTCTAGTAATATTTCGCATAGAATAATAAATAGAAGAAATAAAAAAGAATACAAAATAGAAAGAAGAACGATTAGGAAACAAGATGATGTATATAATCACTGATAGATGAACTACTAGAAACGTACATATATATAATAAGCACGTGGGAAAAAACCCATATACAGCATAGTATAACATAGAAGAAATAAATGCGGAAACTTCGGATTTAAATCCGATAGTTATGTGTACTTCAAAAAGTGAATCAGACGAATTAGCCATCCTAGAATATGTAAACATCAAAATTATACTGGGGAACCTACTCTCTAAATTGTTGATTTCTATTGGGTATTGCCAAACCAATCGGACTTGAGACTGAATACAGCTCAAATTTGAACTCTTCCCCTTCATTTACCCTAAGAAAGTCGTTTTTCCTATAACTTGATTTCTGTTAGTTACTGCTCAACCAATAGTATTTCGATGGAAGCGGAATGCAGATTTGAGTTCTTCATCTCAGAAAACCTCGAAGTATCATCTCTACAATCGGAAGATAGAGCTCTATTTGTGGATCAATTAGATCGTGGACAAAAATATAAG